TCAAGAAGATGACCTAGCACGATCTACGCAACACGCACACACACACATGTTTACTTCATTAGTCTTTGTCTATAATTAGAGATACCTGGGGTGGAGTGTTGGAGACTTGAATTGGGAGATCTTGTGAGTGTGTGTGTGTGTGTGTGTGTCCCCCTCCGTCTCCAGGAGTTTGTTTTTATCACAATAAGAAAAATGCAGGGGGCGACAGGGTCGCTGCATGGCTGTCGCCAACGAAGCTCTATGCAGTTGACCAGGATGCAGGGACTGATCATCCCTGTGCATCTGCACTTTCAACACATTGACACCAATGGTCTGCCCTCCGCTGTACCTTTGCTTTGCATGGTGGTTTCTCCACGATACTCCCCAAAACAGGGTTTCCTTCAGCAGCTTTCTGCAGACTTTGAGCCGCCGCTGGTTTTCCGCAGATGTGCAGCTGTGCACAACATTTTTTGAAACACCTTCAAGTGCTCGGACGCTTCACCTTTCCGTTGTGCCATTCCTTTCCTTGGGGATAACAAACACTCATGGCTCATGGCGTGTCACTCTTACGCATGGGGCCATCCTCAGGGCGGACAGCCGGTCCAGGTGACAAGCATTCCCCCAGTCGAAGAACGGGATCCAGTCGAATTCTGGGAGGAAATCTTAGCTGGTACACCACCTGCACGTGGAAGGTTTCCCCACCCTGGTAGTATATAGCGTCTTCCCATGGGTCAAACAGTCCCACTTTCCTATCAAAAACGTGACTCCGAGGTTACACCCCCCAAGCACCCTAGAAAATACACCACCTCCAGTCCATTCTTTGGAACCTGAAACGGACCAAAACTCCAGAGATGTTGCCTTGGCCCAGTCCTTGTCAATTTCCATCTCAGTAGATGGGGGAAAAAAATCGGGAAGAAAATCCCATCCAGTAACCATCAGTAACCCACCTCTCTTCGCCCTTCGCCAGGACTTTTGGGAACCTCCGCCCGGACGGCCGACTCCCCGACCCTTAGGGGGGTCTGTCGCGCGCCTCTCCGCCGATGCGCACGCGCCAGCCGTCGTTCTGCAAGCGTTCGAGCCTCGACCGGACACCACCCCGTTGCCCGGTGGCCCCGTTGACGCAAGAAAGAAGTGGCAAACAACGATGGATTTGCATGGACTGTATAATCAGGTTTTAAGACATGCTCAGTGATTACAGTGGAACCAATTATAAAGGCTACTGATTTGTTTCGGATGTTTGTTTGTCCAAAGAAACACGATTCATGTTTGTAGAGGTTTGTAGAACATTGTGTAGAACCATATCATCTTCGGTTCCGGCATGTCAGTGCAACAAAAATACCCCATAATAATCCATAGTAGGGTTTCCTGGCGCCAGCGTTTAGAATAACATCCGCCATCACTTTGTCTTCCGTCTCCAGGCCTATCTCAGTTCGGGATCCGTCTTGGCCATGTACCAAACCTCCCCTTTCGATCCGTATTCGAACACATGATGACTGACTGATGATGAATGAGACTCTGAGACTCTCCTGCAGGGATAATTGACCATCCAGGTCGTTTCTATATTTTCTATATTCATCAACCCTAGACCACCCATGCATGACTAGTTACATGTCTCATTTATGACCCCAAACGCAAGTAGCTGCTCCATGTCCCATGGATAGTCTGGGAACTGTCATTCCCAAACACTCCACATATATGGCATATTTACCTTGGGGTGTGGAAATGGTGTGTTCCTTTTTGTTCATGCTTAGTGTTACATGCCCCAGACTCCGCGTGGGGGATCGTCCCATGCCCAGGTCGTGTCGTTTTTCATACGCCCAAGTCCCGCACGTGCCCGTCTGGCCAATTCGCTCGGGGGGACCCTCATGGTTCACGGACACCTGCCGTGAGACTCTGCGTTTAGCGTCAAATGCCGTATATATAAGTGAAGGACTGCTTGGCCGAGACGACCAAGGAGTTGGGCAAGAGACTTCCTATGGAAATTGAGTGTCTTCTTGATTGCAGATTTTTGATCCAGAGCCACGCAAAAGAAAACATGAAAACTTGGTCCGTGAACAATCACGACTGCTGGTAAAATGCACTCATGACCCCAATCTAATCAAGATCTCATCAACATCTGCAGTCAAAGTGCAAAACCTCAATGAGTTCATCAGCCACTGGAAAGTAGGTTGAGTCCAAGATTGATCCTCCTGAACAAAATTGCATGGACATGCGTGGAAATAGAAAGAGGCCATTCTGTAGAAGCAGCTTGTCCACTTCTGTGATTGTTTTTGCTTGTCCAGCCAGGCACCATGCTGCAAGTGCCCCTGACGAAAACCCTGCAGCCAGCTCAATGGTCAAGGTCCCGTGCCTGTGAACCCTTGCGGAGCTGGGTCAAGCCGAACCATCCTCATGGCCACGAGCCGCAGCGATGATCTGACAACAGTTCCTCCAAGACAGTTCACTTTGCTATCACACTGCTGTGATTTTTGGTTGGCCACTCAACAGGCTCAGGGCACGTCAGAATTTGGATGCTTCTGAAAGGACACAAAAACGATTAAAAATACTAAAAACCGCTAGGACGGTCTTGAGGCACCAAACCTGCAGTGTGCACCCCAACCTGCACCATGCTCATGCCCATGCCAGCACTGCAGATCCACAACAACAACAACAACAACAACAACAGCGGGACCGCGGCCTGACCGCGGTCCTCGCGCCGCGCCGCAGGACTCGGTGCGGCACCGCCCGCGGGGATTTGCAAGGCCATCTCGATGTTGGTCGCCTGGGAACACATCGAGACGGCGTTCGGAGCTAGAAGTGCGATGGACTGCCGTGGTTTTCCGTCCTGCTGTGGTTTACCGACAAACATGGATTTAGAACAGAGGAATAACACAAAAATACAGCTTGATCTACTCAAATAGGGAGACTGGAAGACCTCTCAAAGTGCCATTGGGCGTCTCGGGCATGGCCCAGGTGGTAGATGTGAACCCCCCCTGGCAATTTGGTGCAAATGTGAACATACCAAGGTCATGTGTGAGATAGTGTTTCACCGGGTTTTCTTTCGGTTCCGTGTCAGACCGTGTTCAGATTCTGTGCGAATCGGCTGAACAAACAAGGAATGCAGCGTTGCCACTGTAACATCCACTCATACTTGCGAAGCAGAAAAGAATGCAAAGTACGTCACGTCTGGTCTGCATTCAGCGCCTTTTTATGACTGCCTTAGCCCCAATGCTGTATTCTATTCGGCTTCCAAAGGATCCAAAAAGCCAAGAATCTGTTCATTTAACTTTTCCATTGCTGGTCCAAAGATTTTGATCCGTTTTTTGAAGATGAAATTTGTGTTCGCTTCCACCAATAACTGTGAAAGCCTCTCTAGGTTCTCTTGATTGGACAGGGTCAAGGCCTTCTTCACAGCCGCTTGCACTCGGCCTAGCCCAGATTCCCGATCATTTTGCACTGACTGATCCGTGTAATCTTCAATCAACAGGTTGTGTCCTCGCACTAATTTGGTCTTCTTACATGCTCCGACCACCAAAACAGGAGCCACCTTCTGCTGGAACCATTCCCCGACCTCGTTTGCCACACCAAGGGTCAACAAGGAGTGCTTGTGGCCGGAATTCTGAAGTCCCCCTGGAAAGGCTGGCGCACTAAGGTCGTACTCATGGTGGTCCTCTTGTGCGAAGAACCAGAGCCACTGAGGTCCTGGGATTGAATCTGAGAAGGGGGAAAACACACAATTCCACAAATTGCAGCCAGTCAAGGGGTCAGAGTCTCCTTGCAAAAAACACCTAGTATTGTATTGTAAAACAAATTAAAACATATATATATATATATTAAAATAAAAACACAATAAAACACATGTGACTTGGCAATTCCTGGTCACCGTCAGGATGTTGAAACTCTAAAGCTCTGCCAGGTCGTTTTAAGCTTGTCATTGGCTCCCTCCAGTAGTCAGTTTCCCTCAGTGGAAGGGAAGCGCATTTCAACAGATCCCGGAGGACTCCATAGGCATTAAATCTCGTCATCGTTGTGTAGACTCCCCACTGACCTGGTAGCTTTGCAATCAAGAAGTCCACCAATTCCCGGACTTCCTTGGGACGTGCGTAGGCCCATGACGCTATTCCGTGGTTTCCACAATCACGACGGATCTCTTCCACTGCCTGTGAGCCCCTTCGCAGCCTCCCCGCTTGCGGGGGACATCGGCACAAAACTCCATTGAGGTCCAAGAAAACCACCAAGCGCTTGGGTCGTCAAGCATCTTCCGCCAGCAACAGCTCGTTCACATCGCGCAAAGCACCCTCGATGCTACTGCCCTCCATCTCTTCTGAGCCAAGAGAATTCGTCCACGACATCACGTCCGACGAACATCTTTTGGATTACTCGATCTGTTGATGCAAGCACGCCTCGCTGAACGTCAGGTCTCAAACATGGAATAACTATGCAACTGACCTCTGTTGTCAATTCTGTTTGACCCCAGTTGTGATACCAAGATAAACAAAGCCCTGAAACCAGCTGAATTTGACCAGGAAACATAGAGTCTTCAGGAAAGTATATAAAGCAACCACCACGTTTGCAGCCAAAATCATAACTTCTGTTGCGGAATTAGATCTCCAATTATCCCAAGTGTTAGTGGGCCTCGATTCCGCTTGGTTTTGGTTTCGTCTCAACATGCATACTTTTCTAGCTTTAACTGTAACGATCTACAGCAACTACCTCCAATAACCTTGAAACACACCCGCCCGCCATGTTGCAAGAACATGTAAGAAATATGTACAACACCAATGGCTAGCCACAATAGCAATGGCCACTGTCAATTCGCAACGACAACTAATTGCAACAAATTACATCAGTTATGAGCCACACTGACAGCATCAATGGCAAGCGGCAATGAGCATAACAACATCAGTCAAAAAAGTAGCCAACATGTTGGGGTGTCTTTAGAACAACATAAAGCAATTCTGGGATCCAGGCAATCATTTGGGAGCTGTCATTTGCTGTGGTCAAGCATACGATACAATCACTTCCCCCTTTGCCCGAGCCATACGTAGAGCGCCTAAACCCTCCCTTGCACCGCAGCCCTCGGAGACACGTCGAGACGCAACGATGTATACCGTGTCGTCATGCTGATGTTCTCGAAGCCTGGGCTCATCCAGGATGAGTGAAGGAACAAATGACCAGCCAGTGATTTGAGGTCACAATATGTCACAAGTGGTTACTGGCTTGTTCAGCAACCCGGTTCTAGCAAGTGGTTAATTTTACGTATCGCAGCATCCAAGCTGCGACATGTGGCAAGCAAGTTCCAATGTGTGCAAGCTTTGGGAACAAGGTTGGCTCTTGGGCTCTTGGAAGTGTTCAGGGCGATGGAATTCACTTGGTGGGGAACCCCCCAGATCTTCCTTGGAGCTATAGTTAGAAGTACACTCCGTAGTACACTCGCGGAAACTAACATGCACCCGGGTCGAATGTCACCCTGTTTCCTGAGGGTTCATCGGCCTTCAGCAGGGTATGATCTGAGTATTCTACCTGCAAGGTGTTGTTTCTCTCAAACTCGTTTCACTCATACAACGTCTTGTTGCAGGACCCGGAAAGTTCTGGTCACAGGACGTCTACAAGATTGAATCCGAGGGTAAGTTTTTTTGCTTGGTGACAATAATTCTACTTCTAATGACTGAGTGGAGCACCTCATATCTTGGGTCATTAAAATTCCGAAAGCCTCCTTTTCCAGTGCTGAACTCACATCGCACACAAGATCACACAAGGCCCCAATGAAATAACAATATATATCAGGACCATCCTGTCTGGGTGTCCAATGGACTACCCAGCCCACTACGACCCGAGATGTCCAGTGGACACCCAAACAGGATGGTCCAGGTAGAAATATATCCCAAACGCTCCATGGGACTGCCATTTATGCCGATCAATTGACCCCTCTGGCACCACACCACCCCTGGCCTAATCGGCATATATACCGACCCATCCAGCGTCGCCAAGGGGGAAGACACGTCGGGTCGCACCGGTCGTCCGAACGGAACGTCCAGTGAATGGTCACCAGCTGCGAGTTGGTGCGGCATAAGTTAACTACTTGTGAAGGTCTACAACGTCTATTAGACTTCCCAGAATCCACTGTACGCTTGCTGGGATCCCCAAACGCTTCCAAGAGCTCTTGTTGGCCTTCTTGTGAGACCTGGCGGTCGAGGTGGGCTGGCTCACACGAGCAGCATCGCGCAGCATCGCGCCGCGAGGTGCTGATCGAATGCTTCACAGCTGGAATTCAAAATGGTATGTTCTATTTTTTGTTTAGCCTGCATTGGAATGGTGAAGCGGTCGAAGGTGAGATGAGCTTCAAGAAGTGCTATGAGCTTCAATATCCCGACATTCTATCTAAATGACGAACGGATTGGGTCTTCCATGCTTGGCTCCTTTGGTACCAAAAACATCCCAACTTGAGAAGCTATTACAACATGTTACATCACAGCGTGAAACATCATTCTGCAGTATTACTCATTCAGCACAGAGCTCCCTTGGTCATTGGTAAACTCCCATACCCCCTCCTCACGCGTCCTTTGCAAACAAAGAATTCGTAAACAAAAATGAAGGATCATACAGTTTACTAAGCTCAACAGGCCTTATATAACTTAACGTTATATACGCATATGTTATAGCATCATCACGTGAATCTTCATATGCGATGCAAAGGCTTCATGTATGTTTACTACACGCAGTTTTGTGGCTTCTCAAGGTTCAGGTCAGCACAACCGACGGTCGGTCCAAACGCGAGCTCCTCTGCGGCCCAGGTCAGACGGTCACATCGAAAGACATAAACAGAAACACACAATAATAACATCATCTGAACAACAAAACAACAATATACATAAATATACACTTCACATCTGAACCATTCTGAACGAAAAAAGACGGCACCATAATATGGTCTCCTCGCTACGCCCGCGCCCCCTAGGCCTTCGCGCACCGCTTCGCGCACCGCTTCGCGCCTCGAAGCCGAAGCGCTTCAGCAAGCCTCAGTGCCGGTGGAACCCGGTGCGGGTGGAACCCGCTTTTCGGTCGTCCCGGTGCAGGTGTGATGACCGTGGTGCGGGTGCGGTCTGCTTTCCGTGGGGTGGGTGCGGTCGGCCTGGGCAATCATCGGTGGGGGGCGAATGGAATGATTTGTGGATGACAAAATCACAGCTGACATCTGTGCGCTGGCCCGAAACTTTGGTCTGTTTTTTTTTGGGGGGTGGGACATGTGAAAATTTCCGGAATGAGGGTCTACCAGTTTTGCGATCGATCCTGAGATATCGGAATCGTGAAACATCATTGTGTGGTCCAACAAACAGTTGTGAGCTCCGGACCTTTGCTGGCATCAACCACGATGCGCTTGGCCTCGCGAGTCCGTCTTCACCAAACAGGTGGGTTGTTCATGGTTTTGTAGAGACTCTGATTCATCAGACTGTTTGGAGGAACATCTGCAAGAACGAACACCTCCATTTGAGTATAGGGAGCAGGCCGCTGCACCAATCTGACAACATGTTTCTATCCATATCCTTGCCTTCTCGCGCATCAGCTCCATTTCCTGCCCTTTCTGCACCTGCAAAGCTTCAAGGGTAGGGGATACCATGACACGAGCCTCTTTCGCCTCTTTTCGTCATCACCCCAATGAAACGTTCGATTCTCCTTGCAGCCTCATCACTTGCACTTGAGGCCTGAACATGAACCCTTGCCAGGTGGTAGCATGCCCTACTCGAAAGCAAGCCAGCTGGGCCGTCCGACCAAAAGCCTCCAAGCCCCTCCCCAGTGGCTGTTCGACACCAATCCAGAGTTCAAACACCCATTAGGGAAAAGAGGTGAAACTCATATGTCAATATGCCTGCCAGTCCCCATTGGGGTCAATGTATGTCATAGTGTCATAGACTGCCTAAAACTCGTTCGTCATGCCTGTCCACTTGGTCAAACACGGCTCAACGTCTGCCGTTCGACCTCCGTGAGATGTTGCTTGGCGGCCGGCTGATCCTTCAGGAGGCCTGGCGCGCCGAAACCGTTCTTCGGCGTCTGATTTCAGGGTGTCCCGGCGAGGTAGGGGTTAGTGGACTGGGAATCTGATCACAAGAGGAGCTCTTGTTAACAAGGTCTTCCAGTGGTGTCAGTGAACCTTCAAGCGTATCTCTTGTATTCTCTCATGGCTGGGTCAAACAATCCGGCCAATCCCAAACTGTCGACCTGTAGTTCATCTCTAATTTCCAGAACTGCATCGAGTGGCAAGAAGTTCAGATGTTGTTTCCAGCAACAGCACTCGGGTCAGTCTTGGAACTTCTGCTTGAATAGGAACCCTCTCGGAGGCCCTCTCCCGTCATCTTCAACCACAGAAGTTCTCCGGTATCCTTTTGAGCCCATCCCCCTTCTGCTCGCCGCAGCACTTCAGCAGCCCACATGGTTGGACATGGTCAGGACATGGTTGGACATCCAGGAGTCAATTGGAGGACATGGTGCCGGTGCCGAACGGAAGGATCGGAGTCCGGGGTGCCCCTGTCACATCCATTCACTGGATGGGACTAAAACATCTAAACAAACACACCGTCTTGTGACTCCTGGGGGTTGGTCTTGTCTTTTCTTTGAGTGAGTGCGGAGGGATCTGGAGGGATCTGGTATCGCGAGGAACATGTCATCTTCCTTTGCCAGCCATGAAGATCCTGGGTGGTTGGGTTGCCCTGGTTGAGACTCTGAGAACATCATGAACATCACAGGTCGAGGGATAACCCAAACTCAATGCTATCTGGCAATCTTTAATATTTCCACATTCCATCCACCAGCAGCCCCCGACATGCCCTACCTTCAACCAGCGATTGCACAGGCTTCCTTGGAACACAAAGGGCAGCTCATCTGAATACACCCTCAATGCATTGCGCCAGGTCATCATCTTCCTTTGGCATACCGGGGAACCCCAAGAGTTTTCTGTAGAGACGATGTCGCGTGTAGAGAGGTATGGGTGACAGGGATTCCCAAATCTAAAGTGGATGAACGCAGCCTATCACTGCATAATCCTGACTCAAATGACTCAATGATGTTTAAACGTATGCAGTAAACCTGTTCGATTGTCCAACCTTCAAATAGTAATGTACCTATGTAGGTTGTTGTATGTTGTTGCATAGACCCCCAAAAGTCGCTCCTACCTTAGAGCCGTGAGCAGCCTTCTGCATGCCCGCGGAGAGGCCGCGCTTGTTTCTTCTTCACCGACCGATGCGTGCAGAACCGTGGGTGTCTTGGATATCGGTGGACTGGAGGCTCCGCAGAGACCCCCAGGGCGTCAAGGAAATAGAGATAAATAGAGCGCACGCCCGCGCTGGGAGGAACTATTCCCACCCCCTCAATCCCAGGACCAAACCCCATTGGGACGTGAGCTACGTGACCTTTCAAACTAACTAGGGAGCCCGTGCGAGGACAGCACTTTATCCATGCTGATCAGCAAACCCTGGCATCCGGCGGGAGAGGGACTTTGTGCCGACGGAGATGACCACCTGTACTTGCGGTGTGGAAGATCCAACCCCCCAAAGGGAACATACCTGCTCTATCCTATTACTAGTATCAGTGGATGATGATGGCTAGGTGGCAGGCCTTGTTCAAGTGATAATTGTTTACTGTGACTGTTACAGGTAATAGGACAAACCCAAAACATACTGGAACATGCTTGGTGATATTTGGGGTCCATGAACCTGGTTGACTGGATCTGAAGGCACAATCCCAAAGGAGATGAAGGAACTTGCAGGACCCCGTAAAAAATAGGTCAAGACCCACCAACATATTTTTGCTACAGGTCATGTAACTAGTGGAAAACATCCCCCAAAGAAACATCGTTGTTTCTTGGTTTGTTGTCCAACGGTTCCACAAAGAGACAACTCCCCAACCGGCTGAACCAGACCATTGAACCTTGTTTTCTTTTTTCAGATCCTGCCGATATCGGCACACCTTAGCATCCTCCACGTGCATAATCTTATCATCGTCTTCCGCCCGACCTGGGGCTGCGACAGACCGATCCGTCCACTCTGCGGGAGAGGCAGGCACGAGGTTGGAATCTGAACATGAACTCGTACCAGGTGGCATTGTTGATGAAAAGCTGGTGTTGATCTCAACATGGTCCACGATCCTGTTGATGAAAACTTTTTATGCACGTTTGCACTCCCTGAAACCATCATGGAAGTGGAGTTTGCCATCTGTTGTGTCATCCTTTCAAAGCCATGCTGTACATGCAACCATGATGATTTCAGGGGTCCGTCCACCATACCGGATGGTAGAATGGACCTTCCAGAAATGGCATCCCCTGAGCTCAATTCATGTCGGACTGCCAAACAAATATCAACTGACTAGAAGGAGCCCTTCCTGCTTGCGCAAGCATGCGTGCCTGCTCTTTGAGCACCGAATATCTTGCATCTACAAACTCAATTCAGAGAAACAGCCTATGTTTATACCATAAATCACTTCTGTGCACACATGTTTTTTCTTGGATGTTGTTTTCTTGGACTGACAGAAACAGAACAACGCATGGTAACCAAAAAACCTTCCTTCACCTTCCGGCACGTCACCCCCGTCTGAGTGTCCATCCACCTTGAAGCCGAGACAAAAGGTCCTTGGGCATTCCACCTGCCTGCCGAGTCCAAACTCCAGGACATAAAAGGCCAGAAGAACACAGCCAAAGCCCTTGTGATGGAGTAAAATATCATTGTGCTTATCATTGAGTAATGAAAACACACAGAAACACCCACACACAACCGATACTAGAACCGATGTCATCTCTCGGATTCGCCTGAGGAACGCAGAGAGTGCCACTGCCTGGTTTGCTTTGAAACATCCAGCCCGTGCCTTACGCCGTTGTCAGCGTTGCGCGCGATCAAACAAGTCACTCCACCCCGAGAGAGTCGCGTCCGCGAGGAACTGGGTCCGCCAGAGAGAAAGAAAGAGGACGCCGTCATGACAGGCATATTGGGGGTTCTAAGCTTGAAACGATTTTTGGAGGGTTCCCAGCTATTTTCATGAAGCAACTCACCCCTCTTTTTTTCAGAATTAAAACCAGAACTCCATTTTTCCACTTTTGTTCAATTTCCATGTACAACGAATTACAGTTAAAGTCATGAAGAACACTCAGCCGGTCAGAACTGAAATCTTCCAAGGGTTGGAACTCTTCAGTCTACCCCAACTTCTTGGACCAAACAGCGTGATGAAAGACAGCAGATCGGGGTTGTGCAAACATCTGGTGGCAAAAGCAGATATAGAGAGTCTAGGCCGCCCAACTCGACGTGCTTCCTTCCTTCCTTCTAAAGACTTAAATCGGCTTGGAACACTAAGCAGTAGCCTTTGAAGAACGTCTCCAGCCATCCACGGTGAGGCAAGTCAGTCTCTGGAGCATCGGCCCGTCGATCCATGCAATTCACACACTCCAATCGAGGTTGAAGCAAGGTGCCGCACCTGGTGCTCAGGAGGACTGACCAAAGGTGCTCCGTCCGACCAAGACGAAACCGGACACGCGACGAAACCACGCGGCCAGCGGCCAGTGCCATTTTCCTTCGGTGCCAGGCGGCCATCGGCAAGCTTGAGGTACAAGATGCCATCTTCACCGACCAGTTCCTGTGCGAACAAAAAAAAGCGAGCTCAAACAGAATGCGCTTGAAACAAGCAGTTGCTGGATTGACAGCAGGGAGCAGTTGGCACTGTAACCAGTGATTCGGCTCTAGATGGATCGTGTTGACCGTCGATCCGCAAGCCCCCTATCAGGATGGTCCAACATCAACTTTTGGAAAAGTATGTATGAGTAGATAAATTCATCAACAATGAACATAAGTAACTGGACCAGCGGAGTGGTCTCATCGCTAGTGGATTGTCTGTGGACCAAACGCTGACTGCCGAATGGCGTCCCCGTTGCTTCAAATTGACAGCATAACCCTGCTCTGACGAAGGTCCAAGGAACACCAGGGAACTATCAACAATCGAATGGCACACCCATCGTATCTATCTTTCTATCCCAATTTGGTGAAACTTTTATCCTTGGGCTTCGGGGAGCAACAAAGAACATGAGATGCCCCAAACCAGCACAACCGAGTTCGGGTGCTTTATATCCACCCGAACTGGGTGGTGCTGGAACTTATATACCTAACATGTTTAATGCACTCTATTTACTGTAGACTCTTGATGCACGATGCATGATCCCCCAACATGGATGGTTTTATTAACCTCTTCATGCATGGAGGTTTGACATGTAATCAAGAGTCTAAATGATGACTGATGTAGCACACAAATTCCAGGCCTCAGAGACCATGAACCTTTGTCCCGGTCTCATCGTCAAGGCTGTCCTGGCGACCATGCGGACGTCGGGGGCAGCTATGGCCGGGAGGACATGAGCGGATTGTCACTAGGCAGTCGCTTTAGGATTCATCCAACATGACTAACATGACTTTAAAACATTGTTTAATGACTCACTGAGTGACTGACTGACTATTAGTTCTGAGGTTGGAAACACATAAACTGACAAATAATAGCATGTACATCTTCTCTCTTCACTTACTTCTACATGAACATTATATATATAATATATGAACATTGAAAACGCCACCTCAGCGGTCTTTCGTCGACCCCAAGCCACCTGATCCCTCCCCATCGAACAAGTCCTCGGCCCTTCAATGGATGGAGTCGCACCTGAAAACTCCGCCGAGAGATTTTCTGGTTCCGTAGCACCCCAGAATCTTTCTGGGATCAGGCACCACTGGGCAAGTGCATGAATCCTGAACCAACATTCACTAGGTGGACTGATGGATTACACTTCAATAGGACTCTTCTGCGACAAGTGCAGCATGATACAGTGAGACTACCGTCACACTTTTGATTCTCCCACCACACATGCAGGTCAGGTGATGCAAGGGAAAATGTCTATCAACCAGCCAGAGATGCAACCATGGTCCAGCACCGTCTGGTTCTCTCTCTTCATACAGTTACAATGCCCTCAGAGATATTGAGATCAAAACTGATCGAACATCTAGTGAATTCCAAATACTGAACTAGTCACTGAACCATGACAAACCATACATTCGCGGACCAGGACCCACACAGGACCCCCCCGAACCCTGAACCAATGGTCTCCCGGTTGAGGTGAGACATCCTAGACATCCTCGGGCCCCCGAACGGATGGCGACATCTCGGAACGAGGGTGGGTTGTACAACCAAAGCTTGGCCTGTCGAGGTCGGCGGGTTGTTGAGTTGTTGAAAAACGAGGAAACACACCACATGTGCAACATGGATGTGGATGGCACTCCCTGGATGTGGATGGTGTTCACCCTCTTCCAAGGGTTTTATGTGATCCATTGCATCCACGGAACCATGCGGATATGTATTAGTCAGTAGAGTGTAAAGATATGTAATAGTAAAGATCTTTCAGAACCAATGTGCCCTTATAGTGCTCAAAGGTGCCTTCTTGTGCACTTGTGTACTTCATGAGGTGGAAGGGATGCCACACAATGGACTGATCACAACTGTAGGGGGGAACTTGCTCCTCTCTTCCGCAAGCTCCTGAAGTGAATCAGGTTGACTGATGTTCTATGATGTAAACAAAGACACGGCAAATCAGGTGCACATTCATACACAATCATATATATATATATATAGCCAGTAGATGGCACTGGCACCCGAAGGTGTCCTTTGGGATGGGAATCCGTATAAACCACAAAACTTGGGGTAACTTGTGCCATCGAACCTCTGAAACCTTTATACATGTTCTTGCATTCTGGTACACACATTCTAGCAGGTCTCAGAGTTGTTCCAAACTCGACATGGGACATATGGGACGATTCACGACATGTCGTGGACCTAGTTCTCTGTTTCATCATCCGTGGTAAACAGTCCGACGCATCAGGTTGGGGCTCCATAAATTGATGCTTCACCGGTGTAAAGTTAACGTTACCTTTTTACCAAACATAGTAATACATAGTAAATACCTTGGAAGACGCCTCCCTCCGCAAGACGAGCATGGTCAGTCTGCAGCAATTCATGTTTCTCTGGGAAGCCCTGAAGGGGTGCAAGCAATCCTCGCCTCCGCTGCAGAAGCTGCAGCTGATTTCGGCTTCTCCTGCCGTTCAGCGCTAGTGGGTCAACACAAAGCCCAAACAAATCACGAATTGGGTTCTCCGACGAATCAGTTCACGACTTTTCAGATGTGACGGGGAAAAAACAGCCAAACATGCCCTTTCAAGAGTATGGTGTACCAACCATTGTCTAGATTCGAATGAATTTGACCCAATAGCACTGAAGGCAAACCCTGGTCAATCAAGTCATGGAGGGAAAGCACCAGCGCTTTCCAATTGTTTGGGCGTGGGTCTATAATAGTCCATCCTGACATATCCTGACCCTGTGGCCCTGAGACTCCAAAAAGAACCACTCAAATCACTGCTGCCTGTGTGTGCCAGTGACTGCTGTATGTGTCGAAGAACCGACCGAGCATCCCCCTTCATCTTCTTGGTCCTTCTCGAGGAAGACCAAACAATAGTACTGTACCTTGCACGCATTTGGACGCCGTCATCTTCGTTTTCACGACCAATCGCACCGTCATCCCGATCTCGGCCCACCGTCATCTCGGCCCACCAATTCCACCAGCCTCCCCCCTCCGATGGTGCGATGTTGACCAGGGGGGTGGACTGATGGGTCGATGGGTTGGTGGACGATGGCGAGCGACGAGTTTCTGCAGTTCGGGTCTCCTCCGGAAGGTGAGGCGCGACTTGGCGATGTCTTCGCCCAAGTCATGGAGAAAGGAGCAGAAAAGGAGAGGAACAGCAGCCAAAAACTCAGGTCAACAACGTCATGATTCAACACGAGAAAAACAACGGAAACGCTAGAAAAACAATTACAGTAGTCAACACTATTAAAAGTCAACAACCAGCATTTTCAACACCCGGAAAATGGCGGAAAAAGCTGCGAGTCGCAAAAGCGACCCTTGTGCGTTTAGTGTGAGTTTTTTCTCTTGCGGATTTGGCACAGACGACTTAGACGTGGGACTAAGTCGTGACTTGCAACGGAGCGTCGGTTGGCCCAAACGAATCAGCCCGTGATTCAACACTGGAGATCCTGCATACCTTGTGAACCTGTGCTCCCTGGGCAAAAAAAGAACTGGTGGTGTTGCAAGGCCATTAACAGAGTCTGCAGGGATGTGAGTCAACACTACTCTATGTGCAAGCCCATGAGTTTCTTGCACATGTTGCTCGACACCTCACCCTACCGTCGCTTCCTCACCAAACTCAAACACACGGATGTCCCGGCCAAATAGCCATGAGCACACCAAATCCCCAACAGCACCATGAGCGCTGTGCACGCATTCATCCCCCGTTTTTCAGCGCACGTTCTCAAAGCCGGGTGTCCATCCATACTTGGATTTTCTTGAAGGAACCTGACAAAAAAGAAACAACAACCACAACAACAACAACAACAACAACAACAACCACAGACAACAACAACAACAACAACCACAACCACAACCACAACCACCTGGACCCCTAAGGGGTGGTTCATGGACACCCCTTGACCTCTATGGGGCTATTAATGGATACCCTTTCCGTGGTGCTGGAATACAACAACATATTCCCCATTCCGGGGATTTCGACTAATCGGCCCCATCACCGGTGGTCCATCTGAGATCTTCGGGTCGAGCAGCCCATTGCTCCCTGAGATCTCCATGGAAGTCGATCAACACATCGCCGCCGGCATCCACGCGGCACACGCGGCCGCTTTGCCTGCGCTGCGAGGTTGGAGTGTGTGCAAAAGAGTCCTTTTCAGGGTGTATGGTCTCTACGAAGCGCAGGATGTACATCAATTCTGGTATTATGTGAATATGTGATGATATTAATTATATAAGTATAAGTATTATATTGCAATGTATTGCCATTCACTGGAGATATCAGCGACATACATGCAAGTGTGTACATTACATGATCCTGCACAATCCGCAAGCCGGTGCTCTCATTAAACTATTCACCAAACACGTCCTCCGTCCTCATCCTTCAACGGCAATGCAGCAGTTGATCCCTCAAGACGTCTGGTTCAATTCCACGAATTCCTATCGTGTTTCCTATCCTGCTTCTTCTGCAAGGCTCTTACTGCCGTCATTCGAACTCCCAAACACTCCAGAAAACCCGAAACAGCCCGCCGCGCCCGCGTCGCATGGGAAAAGATCCGTTCTCGAAGCTTCTCCTGGCGCTCGGTCAGCATTCCATGCAGGAGCTTTTGTGGTGCGCCAAGAGATGCAGATTGCATAAGACTCCTCGATATTATGATACTTATACGATCTTATACGACTTATATATACTAGCACCATCTAAAGCAGGGTTGTTGGATGGTCTATAAACTACCCTCTTTGAGGGCAGTGCTGCTAGGCTGGTGTGACTTGATGAGTGGACCCCGGAAGTGGAGGGAATGGCGATTCTCTCTGTCATACACTTCGTGATTCTCCAACTCTGCGAACGATCAGAACGTTGTCCGGATCGGGAGAATGTTTGTCGAAAACCTCATCGCAGATCATCGGTTCGGATATGTGTGGACATCGATGTGTCACTCTCACCGAGTAGTTGGTAGGGACTACTCCAGCAGTTGGTATCATAGACCAGCTCACCAACAGTTTCCATGACAATCTACTAAAAACTGTTTGAGGCTTGCTGAAGCTGGGTGTTTTTCTGCGAAATCACAGGACATAGTTGGATCATGTGGTTACTTTGATGATAAGATCCAATCCATCGGCAAAAACCACAGGTAGAGGCGGTACATCAACGACTCAGTGGGGTTCCAAGCTCTTGTACTGTCACCGTTGAGAAATCAAAAATAGAACACGAACGAACACAGTTCGAACCTTGTTTCACTTGCTTGGAGGTTATACTTCGGTCCTGCAGGGTGTGACCTTCTCGGAACCACCGCGTGAAGGTCGAACGAACGCGCGCGCATGGACCGTGGCAATCGAGATTCGACGGTCCCGACACCTGGACGGGACCGGTGGGTCGTTGGAGTTGCGACCTGCTGACTTTGGTTCTTCAAGAAACTCTCACCGCTCACCCTTCAGAGTCAAAGAGACTGTCGAACAGACTGTTGACTGCGACTGTTGGCCTCCAATCTATCGAAACTGGGCTGTGATCTTGGAGCGACGCGCCGCGATTGGGCAGTTGGAGCCAATGGTCGGAAGACAGACCCGGAGCCGGTTTGAGAGAGAGCTCAGGTTTCAGAGTTTTTGCACCGGTTTCAGATGATCTTTGAGAGCAAACATTGGGAGATCTCCCACATGTTAACATTGAGCTCTCTCCCATCTCTTCTTCACAAATTCTGAAAATCTCGGGAGACCCAAACATGAGATCTAGCTTTCGAAGCGGTGCTTTCTTCGGCGCCTCACGATCACATCGTCGCCCTTGTCAAAGAGCACCTGCTGTGGGGATCGCTGATGGGTTTTTCGCTGGGACCGGACCTGACGCCTTTGGAAAACACGGAAAACACGGGAGTGGATGAGTGGATGCGGTCCTGGTGCATATGGATGCATGAGTTGGTCCAACATGAGATGGCTTCTTCAGTTTCAAAACACAAAGAGCACACGAGGATTGGATGAGATTTGCTAAGTCTCTTTCACCAAGCATCCAAAACAGGACAATTGCACCACTGGAGAAAATCCGTTGCTTTGCAGGAATAGACATCAGGAAGCCTTTCAGTCAAGTATCAAAGTTCATACTCAGGCACCTGGCTCACACACAAATACCGCGTGCACTGCAACAAACTCTGCAGGCAGGCCCCCACCTTGGCTAAGTAGCCAAAGTTTTGACTGTAGACCTCAGGCTAGTGAGTTGCTGCAATGCGTTTGGGCGAAAGTTGGGTGGAAAGGCTAGGAGGACAAGTGAATCCGTCACTAAGGCACCTGGGAAGTCGCCCCTTTTGGACAGGTTGGGTCATGCAGTTGGGTCATAAGAAGAAGGACCACGACATATCTGCATTGTCTGTAGGTGAGTCTGAAACTCCCGAACGCTGTTGTGCTGTTGGGTGAGGTCATCTAATATAACTATACCTCCGATAATACCAATCCGGGTGTGCTGGAACATGGCCTCCTCAAGATTCATCCGCACATGGGAGTGCCGTGCAGGCCGGCAGGGCACCAGCGTTATCACGCGTTGATTCTGTTCAAGTCGGCAAAAAGAAAGTGAACGAGTCGGGGTCCCTTCATCCCAGTCCGAACTCAACTCAGGGGTGCTGATGGATCTGAAAAAAGAGAAACATGCGGAGAAAAAACATGAATAGGGCTCCGAGTACCTTCGTTTCGAAGGTGTTTGGGGTGGGTTTAGAGGGTCCAAATACCTTCTGAGGAGGTACTTGGAGCCCTATAGGGGAAAACAACTCCCTCTGAGTCACCCAACCCATTGCTTCTTCCGGTGCTCTCGGAAGCGGATGTACCTGGACGGAGCAATGTGAATGGACACTGCATGGAGTTCACCCAATCCGGACCCTGTTCCGATCTGGCCATGCAGTCAGGCGCCTGACGAAGCCTGACTACTTGCGGTTTCCCCGCAAGAACAACTGAAGAATCCAGTTTGGTCTCCTCATTCCTTCTCATTCCTTCACACCCCAAATCCATGGGCTCACGCATCGCCATCATCGTCGATCTCGATGATCTGCCCCCTCTGCCTCACCCGGCGATCGCCCTAGCGGCGTCGCTGGGCCGGAAACGAGGTGCTAGCGAGGTATCTTCCCCGTCACCCGTTCTACAAGGGATCTTAGAACAACGTGACTGTCGACTCAGGGTCAGTGTTGTTCGGCAGTTGAACAGGAAAATGCAGTGATGTGTTTCATCCATTTTCTGGCCCAAACTCACGATTCTTGGAGGGATGTACAGAAATCTCTCACGTTTGGCATTCGATCAAATCTAAGTGGCTGCCTCGGATGACTCCTGGATGACCGCAGTCCTAGGTATTACCCAGGCTGCCAGGCTCTGAACCAAAGCGACCTGAAAACCCGAGCGATCCACTCACCGGCCAAAACCACCGGACGATGTCAATATCCTGGTCAGGGATGATCCTGATGCTGATGGAAGAACCGCAAACAGGACCCTGGACCCCCTGCGGGCCCTCCGTGAAGTAGGGGGCCGTACCCGAATTCTCTGGAGGGGACGAAAAACCACCAATCCCTATAGGTTTGGACGTCATTGACTCGGGTCACGTCGAAGTCGGAGGGAAAGCTGACCAACTGACAGACCCATGCAGCCCAGTCGACGTCAGTTTGGTTCAAAGAAAGATCTGGAACATTTCAACCTCCCAAAGACCCTCCACTGAGCCAGATCGCCCTCTCAGGAGCTCCTCCCCTCCGTCAGAGTCTGAGATAAAGTCCTCCTGCGAGAGCGCTGTCGCCAGCGACGCAACAGCATCGGTTCGACGCCCGCCCCAAGAAATTAGAGGAAAAAACAAAACAAGACGCATCAAGACGCCCAATTGTTGAAATGTATGGAATCGAATCCTTCAACATCGAGCCATGCATTATTCGAGCTCAAGTATTTCATCGATTTCATATTCCCCCGAAAAGAACAAAAACATAGAACCATGCAAAGTCCTCCATGCTGAGTCCTTGGGAGTCCTCTGACTTTGTTGGACCAAGCGAGGTGAAAAGGGTCTCTCTCCCTGCAGATGAACATGGATCCCGCAAAACCGAGGAAAATGGTCGACACCACCGGTCAATTCTCAGTCAGGTTCCATGTTAGCTGGAGGGTAACACTCATTCCTTGACTGGACCCCTTCAGAGACAAGTCTCTATCAAACTCCACTTGTCACAGTCGTCCACAATTCCCCAGCCTGCGAAGTTTCACCTACCCAACTTTCAGACACATCCACTGCGCCCGCTAAGTATTTCCTTTTCAGTACTGGCCATAATAACCCAAACACATTCCGCCGTCCATTAGTCTTCAGAGGGATGCCCTCCCAAAACATCAACATGGACCGTTGATTAGCACACTCGGAAGCGTTCATCTTGGTCCAAACACCGGTGTTTGGAGTCCCTTCTACTCTCAAAGTCTATCTTACATGAATATATTTTTGTTTCATATAAATCTGTTATATACATTGTGTATGTGTATCTGCATATTTGTTCTGACTCTACTCCCCTCACTCATCTCCGCTTCTCCCTCCCAAGCCGTGGCGCTGCGCACAACACAACTGGGTCACCCGCGCCCGAACCACCACCAGATCGTCCACATCGAAGGTATCCAAATCGACCACCTGAAATGATGGCCGGAAATGGGAACAAGGACAGCTCAACCTGGTTGACGGGTTAGACTAGATCCATGAACTGGAGATATTGATGGCTTTTCAACAAGCCAGATGCTGACGAGCTTGTTGCAAACCATGTCCCAAATGCTCGAAATCCGTTCCTCACCTCGAAGTCATCGTCGATCTCGTCGTCGCTATACACATCCGTCCGGGCAGCGGCTTCCGCCGCCGCGGCGTTGCCAGGAGCGTTGAAGGGGTCCTCCTGCATGGCCGAGCCACAGCGGTTGGTCTCCAAAAGAAGCACCTCTTTTCACATCCGCTCTCATCCAATTTGAGTTTCTTGGCTGGGTGTTCCACATGCCACCCACGGGTGGCTGTGCTTTCTTTTCATGCCTTCTTGCATTCTTTGGACCCTTACATAGAGGTACTCACCCAAATAATCAGCAAGCCGACCGGCCAACCAGGGCTAAAGCATGCGAGAGTCCGTCCAAAATTCCCCAAGCCAATTCAAGCCACCTCCTCCCAGCCATGCAAATGTATACATTTTTGTTGTATCGATGTGTATTAAAATATAGAGAACACCTCCCAGGTTCGACCCCATGGACCTTCGACATCAACCAGTCTACCCCAGTCTATCCAGTCAGGGCCGCCAGGGCCAGGGGGCTCAGACCCCCCGCCCCAAAAAAAGGATATATATCCACGACTTGTTCAAGTGGATGCTGCATCACAATGAACTTCTGTTGATGAAACTTGTCTAGGCATCTTGTGGGCTGTGTGGCATCTAAACAAACAAGCAAAAACACCTATGCAAACGTCTTTTTAGCTCCCGTAAATAGAATTGCTAGGACTCTTCTTGAAAGTGCAAAAGCTAGTACAGTAATTACAAGCACTGCTGATGTCATTTCACCAGCCTTTGCAAGCTCGTCTGCGGCCTCAACGACCTCTCGAGTGGAGGCTCGGGCCGCTTGTGCCCGAGCCGCCTGGCAGGAAGCTTCTCCTTCTTCCGGGCTTGGCAATTCTCAGGGGTTCCACCGCTGTCAGCCCATGCACCAAGGATGTCTTGTCTGCTTTTAATAGTGGTCCCCAAATAGATAGTGGCACGGTTTCCAATGTTGGGATATACGTGTTGTATCTATTTGGGTCTATATATAAAAAAGGCTTCTGGATGTGTTCGATGATCTTCATACCGTAGGAGGGAATATCCAAACCCAGTCTTGATGGTTCTTCATTGTTCTTCCAAATGCGTGATGTTTGAAGTGCCATGAAATATCTTAGGATCGTGCTCGGATTCATCGACCCTGAATGCAGTCCCTGAATCCCTGAGCTGCGATGGCTGAACCACCAAAACGCCGTTGAAGTTGGAGCCATCGGCGGTTGGGGCGTGGAGCCATGTCAGAGTCGACGACATCCGGGTGGATGCCAGGTGGGGGGTTCGGAGGTGGTGCCTTCCAAGTCGACTGAGAATCCAACCTCCCAAGCTCTCAATCGGAGAAGCCTTGGGTGCTACGTCTCTCAAGGACTCTCTGCCCTGCCCTGCCCGCCCTGACAGGATACTGACCACGGCTTACCATCCCTGGTGCATGTACTGGGTCTTCGCTCCAAACGGCTGGTCTTGGTCTTCCGGGATTCATATGGATTCACTGTTCCATCATCAGGTTCCTGGTACTGCAAGTAGGGAGTGCCCAACAATTCAGACATAAATGCATGCAAGTGACCGACACAGCAATTCCCAGCTCATTGAGCTCAGGAAGACCCTTGCTAGTCCCATCCATGCGACTTTCGCCTCTTGCAACCGTTCCTCTTCCTGCAGAGAAAGCCCGGACTACACAACCAGAAACCCAAAGCATTGGAGTCCCAAGCTGTAGTTTGTAAGGTATATGTGATCCGATTTCCAAAACCCCTAAAATGGATTGACTGGTGGAAGGCACAAAGTATAGTATATCAGTGAAGGCACAACCGTATTGGTGAAGATCTGCACAAACCACCCAGTTTTGGAACAAGCCGTGAGCGCGTCTTGTCGGTTCAGAATCATGCGGTCTGAATCAGGAAGAATCGACTGAGTCAATACCGATGAAACCAAATACACTGCCACCGAAGTCGAGCATCCATATGCTCGGAATACCCTCCAGCTACAGAGGCTACGATCTGCTCAGAAGCTGAAACGCAGAAGCAGGTGGCCTTCCCTCCCAGCATCCATTCACGGCAGTCAACACAAATCACAAATCTGTGAGGATATCGGCTGAAGACAAGATTTTGGCATCTTGCTGGGCAAGATTCGGAACAGAACAGCCTCAATGATATTCGGGATTCCTAGATTCCCACCCCTTTTGATGAGGTACTGTAACATCTTCCCAACTCCATGCTCCATGCTCCATCCCCATCCCAACTCCATGCTCCCCACATCACTGTTCAAAGCCCACCTCCTCTCTCAACCTTCTTTGTCTCTCCTCCTCTTGCCTTCTCGGCAAGAAGAGCGAGCAAATCTGAACTTAGTGATTTGAGGAACCCACAACAAAAGTAATTCTTCAAAGCCTGCCTGTCTTCTCAAATGCATTTGTCATCTGTCATGTTTTGCTCTCTTACATATTATGTAAACGATACTGGGTCAACACCGCTGTAGCTTCTTGGAGGAACAAACAACTATAATTACCTTAAGCAATATTTCCTTAAAGAGTATGAAGGAGCATCATAGTCTCATAGTCATCCTTTTTCACCGTACCAGCCCAGCCCATTGTCCACTGCCCATATCCACACTCTCATCCGAGCTCCCCACCTCTTCTCTTCCGCCTCACGCGTCTTCCGCTGTCGCTCAGCCGCTTCGGCCGCTTCAGCCACCCGCTGTCGCTCGAGTGCCTCCTGTTTCAGGAAGGGTCCAGAATGCTGGTAGGCAGCAAAGTTTGCGTGAGACTTGTGTTGGTTTCGAATGGCTCTGTCATAAACATGGACTCGCCACGGTTTCAGAGTAGATGTGGATTCCTTCTGCAAGGTTGCGCCAGCTGCTCCAAGTCTACTCTGGAAATAATGACATGTCATCTTGATGTCCAAGAGCGTCAGTCCAACAAAAATGCACCGTCCTTCGCTGCTCGCTCCTTCTCTCGTGCTTCACCTCAGCAATCAGGTCATACCGCCCAGGCTTGATTACAAGTTGCACGTTATAGTTATATATATAATCATTATGTGTGTACATGTGGATGACTCGCCAAAACACTGCACAATGTGCAATACATGTATACTCTGTTGGATGCAGTTATATATGTGTGGTCCCAAATGCTACGCTGCTACTACTACTCTATTTGGAGTATGACTGTCTACCCTTCATAGATCCCTTCATGTGTTACAACAGCCCGGGTGTCCCGGCGTTCCGCACGTGCCTTCAGATCCGCTTGGCTGTAACCAATGTCCTTAGAGTTTTGGGGTGGAAGCATTGGACATGCGTTTGGCGGTCTGAAGAAGACCGGAACAGGCTGAAGAAGAAGATCAAAGGTAAGAGTATGGAAAGACTTGAAATCGCATGAGAAAATCAATACTGTAGATAAATCAATAAAGTTTGATGATGTTTGGTGCAGTATGTGAGTGGGTGACTTCCAACTGAAACCTCCTGGATAAAAAAAAAGTCTGAGTCAGGGAACCGGAGCAAACATCAATGTGTGCATCTCAGAGAAGGGGAATGTGTGTCTCGCAAAAACCAATTCAGGGAGGGGCACCTCAGCCAGACAAACGTAACATAAGAATCAACCACAAACACAAACAAACCTCGAAAGTTGTCCCCATCATGTTCCCAAGCGCTAAAATTGCAACGCAGGGAACATATAATGGAAGCAATCAAAATCATGTTGCGTGCAAACTTCTGGAGGACTTGCTGGATGTCAATGAAAACTTATCAAAATGCTCGAAGACAAGAAGGCCAGTGTCCTCAGCCCTCCCCCACGCCCCTAAGAAAGCAAAGAGCAATCAGGATCCTCGCAAGATGACATACAAACATGATATGCATTGGCATTGATATGATATCATATGCAAAAACAGCTTCACTACACACGCGATTTTAAGTCCATTGGCAAGAGACATGACAAATAACATCAAATAACAACGATGATATCGCACCACATCGGCCAAGTGTTTGCCCCAAGAGAAAGAACGACTGGAACCTCGAAATAAGTCACAAAACATGATGCCAGGGCCTATGCTCTTCTTGTTGGAATTGTCGCTGGTCAAGAGCCCGCCGAAGCTCTCCTCTTTTCTGGCCCCCCAACAAAAACTCCCACATGTTCTGCTTTCTTTAGTTCAATAGAAGTTCAATATGGTGTTTCTTCCGTAAACATCACGAGGCCCAACAAAAAGACTTCTTCGCGCCGAGCAGCTCCAAAACCGGCGCCAAAGGCCGATGCTGCGGACCTCGTGCATGTTTTCGCGTCAAAGCCAGAAGAACTGGGAGACCAAACGAGAGAAGATATTAATGGGGGAAGACATGGGAATACCTGGACCTTCTTTTGGGGTGTCCTGTCTGGAGGTCCCTTATGTAGTGTAGGGGCTTCCATTGGTGACCCCTTTGAAGGTGCTGTAGTATAAACTGCTGTTGTTGTATTATATATGACTTCTGTGTGTAATAAAATGTTAACTATTGTATGACACATTAAAATCATATTAATGGGCTGCTTCATGTTCTTTATGAGTTGTATAGGTGTCCTTTTGGGGTTCATCGAGTGATGACTGGGTGCCTTTGATTGGCACAATGTGTGAACCAAAGCAATCCTTCAGAAGTGTCAGAAGGGTTTGATTTGGGACCTCGCCCTTCACCCTCCTGCCTTCAGGTCGAAAGCTAGCCAACCCACTCACCACGCTTCATTTCCCTTCGGCCAAACACACAGGACCGCCAAACTGACCGTCTTTTTGCATTTTTTGCCTTCGGTCTCAGCTGCCAGTGCAGGGACGCGTGGAAGAATCGAAGCAAAGCGCCCAAACCCAGCGGCCATTTCAAGCACCCCCTCAAACATGTGTCTAGGTATCCATCTTCCCTCTTTGGACTCAAGTCTTCTGTTCCCAATACCAGTGCCTTACCACCAGAACTGACTACACCTACACCCGATCCCATTACTGCCCAAGCCCCGCCCATCTCTGTCCATACCTGGGTGTGCCCGACGCCAGCTGTTGGATTTTATCCAAGTTGGCCGGTTTCCAGCTGCTGGTGCTCACCGCCCGCATCGCTGGTGCTCACGGCGTGGTTTACGGCTATTTTGGTTTGGAACAGCGGGTTATGATGCAACCAACACCAGCAATGAACAGGTGTTCGAATCATGAAGGGGAGCTGGCTACCCTGAGCTCCTCTGGTCAAGGACAGTAGAGCCTTATTTCAAAGAGTATAGACTATAGTCAACTCTCACCAAAGAAACTGTGGCCAATCCGATCTGACGGTCTGATCATGTCTGATCCCTAGCATAGGAAGCTTCACTTAGTCCAGTGAAATGGGCTGGTTGTTTGCATGGACAGGCAGAGTTCCAGCAATGCAACCGAATGCAACCATGTCCATGCCAGTTATTGTGGCACTGGTAGCAATCCTTCCGTCCATTAGAACTTTCAGGTTGTACATTGCTTTAAAACCTATGCAAGTCTGGAGTGAGCAAGCTTGACGTCAAAGCGAGCCGGCACAGGCAGTTTTTTGGGATGCTTGGGCCTGCCGAAAGCGTCAAGAGTCCAAATTAGATGTTACCCTTTAATGCGGAGACCTCCCAGTTCGACACCCAGGAGGGTCTCCCTATTAAAATACTTATAAAATACCTTTTACTTTAGTCTTGCGGAAGAACCGCTTGAAGAGTGACCAAACATAGTTACACGACTCTCAACCCACATGCTTGGTACTGGTGGTGAAAAGTCCCAAACAGGACACCCATGTGATCCTTGCCCACTTCCTTCACGTTCGTCAAAGGTCGACACAAGTCGAAACCAACACGTCTTCCACCTGGCTCAGAATCCCGCTGGTGATCTGATTTGAGAGGACTGACCGGGAAACCGCGGATTGGCACAGTTTCTCGGTGCCAATTGTGAGGTTCAAAATGCTTGAAGCGATGGGAAACTAATTAGCTACATTGTCTTGGGGTTGCTGTCCAAGAACCGGGAAAACACACATATTCCCAGGATGGGGATTCATCAGGAGCCGGGAAAATAGAGTCGGACCCTATCAGCAAAACCAGGTATATATGTTCTTCATGGGACGTCCCTTCCATTCCGTCTTGCAACGGAAATGCTAGTCAGATACCACATGATACCTGGTGACTTCAACTATCTGACAGAAAAACATCTACCTCCAGCCTAGTGCACGGTTGCGCAACCAGTCCAACCAAGCTGCGAAGTATAAATGATCACCGCAACTGAATGATCCGCATCCCCTCCGCACATGTTCTTCACCCGCCACGCCAACGGGTTGCAAGGGTGCAACGGGCTCGCTGCTCGTCCCAGAGGCAGCTGCGGTTATGAAAGGGTTGACGGAATGCTCAGCAGCTCGGTTGGTCAAGACATGTCCCCCCCTGACTCGTCGAAGAACACGAAGAATGACCAGTGGACAACATGAGTTGCACAAACCTCGAAAGAGATTACAAAGAAGTTCAGCATCGCCGGCCTCATCCAACATCATCCAACCACCTTTGAGGGCTGTTGCTCTAAAGGAAACCAAACAAACACTGCTAGAAGCAAAGATCTACCGGGATCGCAGTTCTTCTAAGGAGGGCATCTCAAAGTCGAGTTCGCATGTGTTCACCTCCTTTGACTCTACAAACAAGGGCCTCCAAGTCGAGGCGTCCTTTTCGATGCGAACCTTGTGCAGGAAGACGACCAGGACCCCACGGGCATAGCGGGCATCAATCAGAGAACTCACTGATTAGGGATCCAAACCAACAGGCTCTGACAGGGAAATTCAGTCACGGACTCATGGTCAACTCAACACCCTATAGCATACTAATCGTTTCTTAATTGGGTATTAGACCCTGAAACCCTGCAGAACAACCTCAGCTTTCAGTGCTCTTCTTCCCAAACCTGCCAAAAAACGGGCAAACCCCTCGGTGTCCGCACAAACCACAAGCGGACACCGTGTCGAGCATGTCGAGCCGAGCCATCCACCCTCTGATCCTCTCAGTCCCGTCCTGTCTCCCGACTGTGCTCCAGCTAGAAGCCCATAGAAGCTCACGGCAAAGCAGGCTCCAAATCATCACCAAAAGCATTCCAAATCACGGATGACAAAAAGCTAAGCAGCTATTGGGATGAGCATGTTGGAGCCACGTCTGGGAGTCGGAAGAGATGCCTCATTCTGTAGATGTGAAACATTCAGAGTTCGCCACTCCGAACTAGATGCGCGCGCACCACACCTGGATCAGTTCAGACTTTCTGATGCTTGTTGCATCTTGCTGCTCGCTTGGCTCTGCTCCAGGTCATCTAAACTCGTCCAACACACGTGTCGCGAGTGAAACTTGGTCCACCTATCTACAGATCAGCCGATCAGCCTGGCCTCAAACCCAGTTTTGCTTGGGGCCCCACCACCTCCGCAGCGCGGGGCTTCTCGAGGACCCGACTACAACGAATGAAGCTGTTCTTCACCAACTAGTCTTCCAGCTCACCCGAAGATGTTCCAACTCACGTGTTCCTGATCACGTCTGGTCTTTTTCTTCGTCTTCACCGAGTTCGGTTCACTCCTTCGCCGAGAGTTCGCTTCGCTCCGAGCCCCACGGCCGGAGACACGTCGAGGTTCCCGCGCACGGTGGGTCCACGTCTCTCCCATTTGCGGACCTGTGGGTCGTCATCTGCCCCCCCCCACACATCGGGGTCATCCCTGGTCTAACACTGCCACATCGGCCTCAAGAGGCTTCCAGAGAGCTTCTCAGGGTTGTAGATGTGCGCCAATAGGAAACAGGCAAAGTCCAAGAGCAACAAGAAGTGAACGATGTGCCCTCAGCTGCTGCGTGATGCAAAGAACGGGGTGTTATTCGGCCAGGTGAGGCGGGGTCAAAGAAGATGGTATATGTTTTGTGGGTGGGGTGGGAAGAAATCCATTCGAAAAGCTTTGCTCAGGTGTTCCATGCAATAAGTTGCAAGAACAAAGTACAGCTGTTCAGTGTTAAAACATCTAGAATATTCTAGAATCTCATTATACTCTTGATTATATGCCACCACATAATTCACAGAAATCTGCCCTTTTCGTGCCCGAGTTTTGGATCTTTTCCATGTACCAGGACCCACAAGGTTTGGTTGATCACCCCGTCTACCCTCTTTTTTTTGAGCTATCAATAAACATCCCTGGGCCCTTTTGGGTCCAACACAAGAGGCACACCACGTGGTGACTTCTCCTCTCCTCGGATGACTTCTTCATGTTTGGCCCCGTAGGGTGTCCAATCCATTGTCTGTTTGTCCGATGCGTTCCGTGAAGGTCACACTCCCCCCGGCAGAGCTGCCTGCAGCTCCCAGCGGTTCGCTCCAGCCCAATCGGTAGGCTGAGATCAGGTCCTCAAGACCAGGTGTCAAAGGTGGGCATTTCAGGGTCGACCGGTCCTTCCCCTGCTTTTTGCTGGATTTCAGCCGGTTCACAGGCTGGCGATGGTCTGGGCATCTCTGGGAGAATCACCAGGTTTCATCCTTTTGAACTCCGTGTCGGTGCATGTGGGTGTCGCAGAAGGGATTGAGTTCAACAGCAACGGACGGAAAGAAGAGGTTTCATCTTCTGTCAATCTGTGGAAGGGTCCACACGTAGAAAAGTGATGGTTGCCTGGCAGTTGGACGCAGAAAAAACCAACTGCCGCCTTCTCTGGATCAAGGCAAAATCCATCGTGAATTGCTTCCCAATCTGGAGGTGTTCCATCTTCGGAAAAGAAAAAAACACCCAACGTCACCCAACCAAACCAAACCCAACCAAAATGGTCAAACAACAGCTGTGTACAACACTTCTAGACACCACACAGAAAAACACTCAACAAGACATCAAGATCTGCGTCTAACACTCACCATCACCGTCACCAGCGCCTCCATGACGTAGAAACAAACCAAAAAGGCAAAGAAGGCCAAAGCCTGAATGCAATGTCGCATCGCTTCGCTGAATGCAATGTCCCCGCGATGTTTCGCACATTCACCAGTTCGCTGGTTGGTGGCTTCGAATTACAAACAAAATTTAATAAAGACCTGTGGCGTCAAACATCCCAATGAAGTAAAGGTGGAGAATTAGCTTATCCGAAACCCCCACTCAAAGGAAGAGTGGACATGTGGAGCAAGATACATTAACTGCTAGTGTCTTTGCTCCCACCAAAACGGCCTACGAGCCACTTTGTCATCTAACTGTCTAATGGCACCCGGGACACCCTAAGCTTTACATGAACAACTTGTTTACTCTGACCCTATTTTCATTGAATTACATTTATTCGAAAGGATGGACGGGCGCAACTGAACCTCCCTCTTGTGGTTCCGGGATCTTCACACGTTGTGCTCTTTGATGTGCGACGGCCGGCCGATCGGAAGACCACGTTTTGAAGCAAGAAATCTCAAGGGTTTGTCAGAGACTGATCAACCATGCACCTTACTTAAAGGGAAGCTTGCGGGTGTGTGAAGGCACGCATGCGTGTCATCAGTGCACTGGATGTGTTTTCGTCTTGGCCTTATCTGCAGTATTCTGCAATCCGGCAGTATCTTTGAAGATCCTTTTTGTACTGTATCAAGTGACATCAAATGTACCCTCCAAGTCACTAACATGCAAGTGGATGGCATGGACCCTTGCATGACCATGTTCCTTTACAAACAGGGTGATTTCCACTTCCATGTTGGTGACTCGGAGTGTACTCACTACATAGTGCTTGCATTTCACAGCCTTCTGGATGCTTACGCTGTGCTCCAACCCTGGACTGCCTTTTCAAAGGACACCCGCCTGAAGGCTGATTACTATCAACCATAATCTTTCTGCCCCATGATTCACATGAAGTATCTGGAATCATGTCTTTCTTGGGCATGAAACACCTCCTCAATATGAACAAATGCGCCATTTCTCAAGGTGATCTCATCCTCCTCTTCTCCTCAACCAAAAACATCCTCTGGCTTCCCGGCCCCGATCAGCCCCTGCCTGCGATTCTCGACAGGCGGTAATGCTGCTCCAATCCTGCGCAAAAATATTACCAACGGTATCCAACGGTCACGAGAATGGCAGAGGCCCACCAGGGAAGCGCAGAAGTCTCCTGACCTGATCAGTGAGTTCATATGTATTTATCCATTCCCATGACATAACCAACGGTTCCAAGACTGGTGAGCAAGGAAGCAAACACAAAGAATTACTTTATCTCAACCCCCACCTCATGTCTTTCAACATGAGAAGTGGGAGAAAAGGACACTCCGACTGACTAACATGGAAGTGTAACATGAAAGTGGAATACACCCCCCTTTGCAAAGGAACGTCGTCTTACAAGGGGTCCTTTCCTATCTGAGAAAATTGTCGGGGTTTTTAGGTGCAAAGCCCAGGTTTTGACCCTCATAAGCGTGATGGATCTAAAATGATCTAAACAGATGTGAGGGTCCATGAGCCTCTGGGTACAGACATGTATATACCCTAGGGCTCCAACCACCTCCTGAGAAGATGGTTGGGGTGGGTACCAGGGGGGTCTAACCACCTTCTGAGGATATCGTTGGAGCCCTAGGGATATAAACCATACAAAGATTGCTTGAACCATGAGACGAGGGTCCCTCGATGTTCGAGACCTAAGGTACATGTCGACCGTCACTGACACCTTTCCACGTCTCAGCTGACACCACGTCTTAACACCTAATTATGCGCGTGTCGGGCGTACAGCATCTCGTGTCAGCCGGGCAATCCAAAAAACGCGAATCCAGTTCCCAGGTCTTTCCCATGCAATGCGCACGGCACTGATTCGACCCATGGGAAATCCACTCCTCACCCTTCTTCACCGTCGTGTGGACCATCCACACCGCCGGAACCTCGACAAGAATCCCATGCGGATTCTCCGGATTCGGATTGGGATTCGAGCTGGATCCGATCCCACACGCTGTCGAGGCCCTGGGCTGGGTCCGTTGGATGGGAAATACCGACCTTTAGAGATGTGTTGCAGAAACAGCCGCACATGATCCATTGATAACTGCCAGAAACTGCTATGACTGCCGATCCAAAGCCAACACTTCGGAGCAAAAACACTGCGGCATGACTCACATACACCTCCATCTTTTTTTCAGGTCCGTCCTCTGAGTCCCCCAACAAATGCAAGGATCTCAATGTAGTTTGCAGTGGTAAAGATCGTGCTCTCCAGCAGGGTCTGGCGGTTATAGTAGTCCACGACCTGGCTTTTCGGACCTACTCGGCACCCGGTGCGAGGCTCCCCGTCGACACCGGTGGAAGACACCGGTCGACTCACCGGCCGGTTGGGCGCGCTTCCGGTCCTTCCGCCGGTTGGGCGCGACAGCTGACGTGACCGTCACAGCTGAGCCCCTAAGAGGTCAGGAAGCAGAGGTTGAAGGACCCTTCACTAGACTATACATATAGATACTCCAGTGGGGTCCTACCGTAGATGGACGAAATATTCAACCCCTTTCAACCACGTGGACCCCTTCTACCCCAAAGCTCAATGTTAGAGGTCTTGCAAGAATGTTTCGGCGAATGGACGAAACAAATCAAACCCTGGAAACACAAATTCAATCAAGTTATGTTCAACATTGACCTTTGGGGGTCAGGGGTTGGCGACAGTTATTGGTACATGGGTTTGAATATTTGGTCCATCTACTGTCTAAAGGTGTGACGTTTGCATATTTTTGGCTCGTAAGTATCAAGTCTAACATCTTCATCCGTAGTACTCTGTGTTTTAATCTTCTGTGCTCAACAACACTTTCACATCGACACGTTGCGAGCGAGGACAGCAGACGTCAGGAAAGCAAGCCAGATGAAGAGCAGCTCCAGCTACGGTTCTTACTGTTGCCATGTGCCGTGTCTGTTCCCAGTGCCTTTCCAGTGCCTTTTCACGGTTTGTGTGCGCCTGCCAGTGATTTTGCCATGTGACTCACTTTTTTGCTAAAAAGAGATAACTTATCTTTTTGTTTCAACAAAACTTACCGGAAACACTTCTTTCCTGGCAGGGCCACGAGAAAGTGCAAAAGGCACTGGAAAAGGCACTGGAAAAGGCACTGGAAAGGCACTGGAAAGGGACTGGGAACAAACACAGCACATGGCAACAGTAAGAACAGTAGCTGGAACCGCCCGGCATCACTTGAAAACAACACACGCATGTGAGGTCTCCGGTCGCCGTCCACACCCAGTACCGTAGATGGACGAAATATTCAAACCCTTTCAACCACGTGGACCCCTTCTACCCCAAAGCTCAATGTTAGAGGTCTTGCAAGAATGTTTCGGCGAATGGACGAAACAAATCAAACCCTGGAAACACAAATTCAATCAAGTTATGTTCAACATTGACCTTTGGGGGTCAGGGGTTGGCGACAGTTATTGGTACATGGGTTTGAATATTTGGTCCATCTACTGTAGTTCAGGTCACTGGCTACCTCTCTGGGAAATCCGTGAACATCGAAGGATGGACGTCGGGTGGCTGTCAGGGTCGGCCCAGGTCTTCCAGGTCTTAACCACAGCGGAACGCGTTGGACCGAAGCAGACCCTGTTGCAAACGGTGAAGGCCTCTCCGATTGAAAGGGTCGCTTCAGGATGTTAGGTTGATTCTAAAAAGGAACGGTTCGACTTGTAACTTATATATATATATAACATAACATATTATATAACACTACTGTTATATAACCATCATATAACCCTCTTCTGCCAATTTGCAAAGAACATGATGTGGGGTGGAATGACGTTTTAGGCCACATGACTTGGATTTGGTTCCAACAACTTCGCCTCGGTGAGGAAAGCAGAGCCAATGCCCAGGAGCACCAAGCCCAACAAATCCTGGCGCTTTGAAGGTGGAACAATTCCAACTAGCTAGAGGTGGACCACATGGCCGAGGAATACCAAACAAAAACTAGCAAAAATAACTCTTTCCACATATGTTACTCTAGAATACTCTAGAGACCGTACAAACATGGGTTGGATTGTATCCTCAAGTTCCAACACTGTAAACTGTAAACATCCGTGCAAGGCTAAAATCATGGGTTTCTTGATGAACCTAACCATCATGGAAGTGGAACACGACCCTACTTTACTTTCCGCACCGCAAAACAGGGGGTGTTCGGCTTCCATGTTTGTTGCACGATTCGTGATCACATGATCATCACCAAATCTGAAGAATCTTGCTGGCAATGTGCTTTCTGGAGATACACGTCCCTTACATCCCACATAAACATAATGAACCCACCTGAAAGAGTGCAATCCGAAAACAATCATCCCAAACATCCCTAACATCCCTGACAGAATTCAATCAGATCAGAAAAATGTGTCATCACACACATGTAGCACTCGGAATGTACATATGTATACATGTATACATTAATAAAGGTACCACCCTGTGTACGTATGTTCATACGGGGGGGCTAGGCACTCGGACCATTAAAACATCCGCACCTTCTGCTGCATGAGAGCTGAAAGTCGAAAGTCGAAGCCTTCGCCGCGGCGGAGACGACGAACCGTTCGACGTTGCCTGCAAGAGAGGACTTTCTTTCATCGTCGACCCGTACAGATTGATCTAATCTAATCATTCTAAGAAGAACCTCACCAACCGTATACATATTATAGATCGATATATCTGAAGAAGAATGTCCAACAAACTGCTTTAGCTGCTTTGTAACTGCTTTGTTGGACCTCTAAGCTTTAGTTGATCAGCTGGCACGGCATTTTCCCGAACCCAACGTCTTCCACGTCGGGAGCGCGATCTTTGGGCGTAGAACCTGGCCCTAGACCAGGACCCATGGTCGGGGTGGAACCCCCCTTAACCTCCTATTCACCTCTAAGGGTCAATTAATGGACACCCCGAAATGGGGGCCCTGGTGGCACACAAACACTTTCTTAAAAGACAACAGCAAAGCGAACGGGGGTGCTCACCTGGACTCCTCACTGGCCCCTCTTGCAGCACCATCCTGAAACGCCCGGGTCCACTACTCTAGGAAGATCTGACGATGCTAGTTGGGCGACCGTTTCATCGCAAGTAGGACACAGAAAAGGCAGGATGCATGCATGTCAGACCAAAGTACATCATCTTGCGAGACTTGCTAAACACTCACATGACCAACCACTTGGATTTAGGCTATACTAAGTAGTCTACGGCATGCTCTATTTTGCTTGTCTATCATCAGTATTCGCTTGTGAATGAGACAGGGCCCCCACATAAACGATATGCTTTTGCTTGACACTAAAGTAGTCTGAACGAGATAGTGTGATTTGCTACTAAAGTAGTCTGAACGAGATGCTGTGACATGACCTCCTACTTAAGTAGTCTAAACGAGATAGGGCCCCCGCATAATAGATAGTGTATTTGAGTTTAGTACCAAATAAATGCCGCTGCACACAGGTGTGTTCACAAGCACGAACCAGCAACCGTAGTGTCCTCCAGGCCTACAAACAAAGCTGCAAGAACTCCCACCAAGCCAATCAGATTGCACACGCCGATGCCAACCTGGCACAAACACAAGTTTATTATAGTTTACTCATGACGAAGGAGAATACAAAACGCTTCCCCCGGACCTGAAAACCCTGTTTTATGTCAAAGAATACTATTGTAATTGCCATGCTAGCCCTCCGAGCTGGTCAAGGGTCGTGTAGCTCCACAGCCTTCAAACTGGCACTCTTCCTGGAAATGAATCTTACTGAATCACAACAACGCGATTGTGGCAGTCTCATCGCTTGTCCAACAAATGGGGTGCAAATGGCATGTGCACAGTGTGGTGCTCCTAGTCAGCTATAGTGGTTGCTGATCTGTCAAATGCAGTTGATTGATTCCAAGAAAAACATGTTATAGATTGCTATAGAATGTTATAGAAGTTGTAGACATGTACAGTAAATACTCCGATGGAACATATGTACTTCAAATACTGGAAAATCAACAACGAGAGCAATATAAAACAACGTGTTGCATCTTTTCGGGCCTCTTTCTTGGATCTCCTCTTCTCATCTTATTGTAGCTCTACATACAATTTCGAAGCAACACGAAGACGCCGGCTTCGCCAAGAACCGGATGCCTCAAGCAAGGGCCACGTGCAAACGCGCAAGGCTAGGAAGCAAAAGTGCATCAGCAGAACCTGCAAATGGCAGGTAATTGACACCGAACGATGACAGGTGGATGGGAAGGTCTTTAGTACCCTTCTAAAGGCCCTCTATAGATCAATTGTTGTGTCCGGAAAACTGAGCATGTTCATGCCAAAACAATCACTGCCCTACAGATCATCAGAGCGTCGCGGCCATTCCGGAAACGTCCGAGATATGGTCGGACGGATCGAGTCCATTCCTGGCCCCTGGACAGACCATGAAATCTTCAGACCAAGACGGATGGGGTTTCTTCACTGCGTTGCAGGGATACATGAAGACCAACCAAGTCTTCAAGGCACGCCAAAACCATCTAAGTCGGTCGCTTGTCGCTTTCATGCCTCACCGCCCGGTCATGTCCTGATTTTACCTCTGCTGCTTTGCAGGTTGAACACCCAACCGCCCCCGGCACTTTTTGCGGTGTCTTTTGACATGTGCAGGACTGGCAATTTGGCGACGCCGATGCCCGTCCAGGTACAGAAGCTCTGACTGTTTTGTTCATGCCTTTTCGTTGGGCCTGGGGAGCCCTTACAGAGAAAAGACATGGGGGTCTACTGAATCTAATTATTGAGATTGGTCTAGGCACACTGCAAATTCATCGTGTCTGTTTGCTATATTGATTATTATTGTAGGAGAGGGGCTTGTGATGTTGTCTCATGCTGGCAGCGGTGAAATTCCACCTGATGCAGTCCCCCAAAAACCTTGAAACCAACGCGAGTCCTTCGGGTTTCCCAGGGACCAACAGGTTTTCCTGCGAAGACCCCAGTCAACTGCACCGAGGCCAAGAGACCCAGGATGACCCGCGGCCAAGTGCATTTTGATGACCCTCAAGCCTCTCAGAGTCTCAGAGTCTATTGGTTTCTTTCACCAGGAGAGGAGCCACCGTGTCCTCGGACTGCCACCTGCATTCAGGGGACGGGCACCCTGGGTCGTTCCAAGTCAAGAAAGCAGAAAGCCTTCGGATTGCGAACACAAAAAGAAAAGACTGGATGCCACTCACCCAAACACACTCCATGGGACTGGAACACATGCCTACATTGCCCCCGCAAACCACCCCAGGGTCATCGTCTGGACTGAATAGTAATAAATCTCAGAGTCAACTTTTACCGAACCTGGCCAGCCATCAGGGCAATCTTCTCGCCGCAGTTGGACGAAAGATTCACCCTTAACTTGTGTGCACTCAGCACTGTACATCTACTCTGACACCTTCTCCAACTCACAATGCAGGTGGTGAACAAACTCATCACTGCCATCAGTGCGCAAGTACCTCCAGTTCGGGCGATCTAACCAGCTGTGTAACGTCGGCATGCAAATATTTTCAGTAGTCTACCGGAACGTCTACCGGAACACCGTGCCAGCAGGATGCTCCAAACACCCTCGAGTTTCCATGATTCTTCTGGTTCGAAGTTCGGGCCCCGTTCGGGTCCCTGCCCCTACCGCGCTCTTTGTAGCTTCATGTTTGTGGGACAAATCCGAAGCTGCTCAGCCCAGCCCACCCCGAACAGCTCCACGCTGTTTCTGATAAGGGAGGTTGCATGTCGTAGATCAGGCGGTCATCCTCAAGCTTGTAGACTCGCCGCGATCCACTGGCGGACCTTGGAGCGCTCCAGAGGTCCGTGCCCAGTCGGACGGTGACACGTGGCGAGGCCACACGTCTTCGACGTGGCAGGTCGCGTTTGCACGAACTTAGCTCCAAGTCAAGGACAGTGGAACCCCTTAGGCCCTAAGCTGCTCCTGGTGTACTTTCACGATGTTCGTGGAATTGGTGGTTCACGCAGGACAAATGATGACTATCAGCAGTATGACAGCAGGAACCTCCGCAAACAAACGACAAAGCACACCACCCGTGGCAAGTATCAGTATGTATCAGGATAGAATAAATACCACCCTGCAAACTGACATAGAACCTGAAAACCCGTCGACTCCTAGAGGAAAATCCGTCAACATGATTTTCCAGGGATCTACACTCTGAAGAACGCATCACATTGAAGTGGATGGGAAACTGGTCCCTTGGAGAACAGTTTTCCTTTAGGAACAGGTGGTTTCCACTTCCATCTGATGTGTTCATCGGAGTATACTCACTATAGGGTTCGATACTGGGTTCGATTGGCCTGATCTGCGGCGATGTGAATCGACATGGCCAGGGCACTTCCCACCTGCAGATGGGCCCCGCTGAAAGCAATCCTCCGTGTCTGCTAGACATTCGAAGATGTTCTGCGCAAAGTCGAAGTGTGCAGTTTTGTAATACCTGTTCTTTCCAGCCAGGCCGAGCCGGGGTCGAGAAAACGTTTCACTCCAAAAACACATATGGCTTGCACCCAAGATCTCTGCGCGGTGTGTTGCACCCGTTGCGTGTCACAAATTTCATGTGTAAGCTGGAACCTCTTTGGGTGTCAAAAAAACATGTTGTTCCATTGGACATCCACGACCTGTTCGCCTGCTCGACCTTTGCGACACGTTCCAGCTCGTCCGTTTCGACACTCGCGACCCCGGTCACTCGTTCACGCTGAAGGGATGGCTCAACATCAACTCAGCCTTCTTCCTCGGTCACGAGAGTCTCAGATTTGCGTGGAGAGAGCTGAAAAAACTGTTTGTTTTTTTCCTGCTTGGGGGGTACAAAGATTCTTGATTTGGCCGAATTTTTGGACTGGTTTGGAAGTTCTGAAAATCAACCAATGGCCTCATCTTCCCATGCCCTGAAAATAGAATCTTGGCTTGACTTCACAGTGCTTTGCATGAGCAAGGAGTGACATCACAGCACTTGGATGAAGAACTTTCGAGGAGTTTCGAGGATGCAGAAAAAACGTACGAGCAGATGTTGGGATACATTCCTCTCCCCACGACCCCCGAAAGCCTCAGTGGTGAACAAATGACATTTTCCTGGATGGATAACAGCGACGTGCGTTTTCCTCACGCGCCTAGCGGCGCCTGGCAAAGCAAAAGCCAATTGAAGGGTACGTGCCCTACTTGACTTTTCTTAGCAGGGGTGCTGGGAGGGCAACAGCTCCCACAGTACCCCATGATGGTCCAATTCTACCGGTACACTTGCGCAGCTTCATGGTCTGCAAGCAAAGCAAGCAAGCCTTTTTGAAGGATGTTAAATGTTGTTGCCTTTCTCTTTAAACTTATGATTTCAAAAAAATTGAACAACTTCATCAATTTTGTCTGCTTTTGTAAATGTTGTTGCCTATTTAAATTTATGCTTGGCCAAAGCAAAGGCGATATGATGCAAAAGTGCCGCCCCAAATTGGTATTGATCCGGGCCTTACCGCTAAGGCCCGGATCAACACCGATTTGGGGCCAACATTTTGGCCAAGCAAAGTGGAAAATTGGCAGATTGTGCAGTGTGCAGTTCCTAAGTCAGTTACAAAGCAACAACACAAAAAAGACCAAAGCAGCCAGGAAACAGTAGCCACATGTGGCCAGCTCCTTTGCCCCTGCTGACGTTGATCGCGCTCTGTAAGTTGAACGGCAAGACCTTGAAGCCCAGCGATCATGTAGTACAAAAAACATGTTGGCCAACAAGTATGTTGGATAAGAATGGAAACATGGTACATCATGTTTGCTTTGGAAAATACTCAAAATATCCAACTATAGTCTTGGAAAGTAACCAACAATAATATTGGAAACTGTTTGCTGAAACAAATGAGCAAAATTTCGCACGCTTCATCAAGGATCTTGAGGGACTGGCAGGCGATGATGCGAATTTCAGAAACGAATGCTTTCAGATCTTCGTAGTTGAAAGACCCTCCGAGGTAAAGGGACGGACTGATCCGAGTTCATAGAAGAATGAAACCAATGCCAGGCTTTTCAGATAAGATTGTACAAATGCCAATAAGAAAGTTCAAACAATATCAAAAGTTGAAAAACACGTTGAAAAATACTAAAAGGCCAAGACACAGCTTCGCACCATTCTGATCGAGCATGCATCCAATGGCCTCGTGGACAAGATCCTGACAGGTGACAGGGTTATCGTCCAACAGATTGATAGGTGGATACACAAGTAGCGTATGGACTTTGAATGGGTGGATGGATGGCTGGATGGAGGGTGGAATGGACGCATAGGTCAATGAACGGGAGAGAAAAATAGATAAACAGATAGACAGGAACAATATAGACAATCCGTTTTCCGTTTTGGGTTCTTGTAATTGCAGATCCGTCTTTTATAGGTGCTGGAGAACAGCAGATGCATTCGGATCGTTCTATTGGCTGTTGAGACAAGCGTTTTATTATCTTCATTGATGAATATCCCACACGTGTAAAGGGCGTTTTTGGAGGGCAAGCTCAGTACCTGGATCAACGTTTGGGCTTCAAACTGCGCCGGCTTCTGCTCAACATAGGCATTGTGTTTTTTGTTTTGCGACCAGAACCCCAAACCACGCCACCAAGCAGAGCAACAGCTTGTCTACATCAACCAAACCGCCAAGCCCAAGTCCCTGCCGCTGAGGATGGCTGATCATCTATAGCCTCTTCCAGCTGAGTTTGCGTGCAGAGAGGCCCGTCCCAGGTCACTTGTCTTTTGAATGCTTTGGGCTTCTTACAATACAAGCGCGCAAGTAATTTTTGGGGTTTGTTGTGGTTCTTCAAGGCCACTTGTGTACTGGCGCTGCTATTTTGATCCCTTTTGGAAGAAAATAGCAGGCCGAGCGACTTTGACCAAGCCAAAATAGCACTACTACCGTAGCCCATAACCCTTTCTGGCCTACCACTAGTGACTTCAGAGTAGATGACACGAACTCATACTTTCAGCTTGTGATTGGGGCTACGCCTCTCAGTCTAGAACAAAGCTCCTTAGAGTATCATAGCTGAGTGGCTATTGGACAGTGTACTCAAACAAAAGACCGTGAGTGTCGCTCGTGGGATCTTGTGGCTCAAGTTCCAGTGTAGCGTACTCGAGCGTCGGACGCTCCTGAGTTGATTCAGACCGCACCGGTTCATCAAACAGAGCTTGGGACAAAGCCTCTGGGCGATATATCCCCCCTTCCGACTAATGGAAACGGCAAAGGCATCAAGGAGGAGCAAGGTTCAGACCAAAAGTATCGCTCGAGAAGGCTTGCTTGATGCAGCTCATTCACTGTACAGTGATACCAAGGGCTCAGCTGCCGCCGTTAATTGGCGTGCGTGCCGTGAGCGACGCGGAGTGAGCGCCGCGGAGTACTGCTGTGGGGTGGAAGAAGGTTCAGTCCATGAGTCGGTGTCAATTGTCGGTTGGATATGCAGAGCTGTGCAGACCCAACCTGTCGAGGTTGAAATAAATCTTCCACCACGACACGATCGTTTTTTGGCACCTAGCCTGGACGACCAGCGTCGGGGGTTTGGATGGGTTTGGTCGGTCTTCTGGCCGGGCCAAGGAAATTGCTCCATGGTAATAGTATATATTCACCAGAAAAATTCAATCACCTAGATCAGAGAAGGATTAGATCAGAGCAGGGTCGCATGAAATTTTATTTTTTTTGCATTTTTCACATGTTTTGATCAATTTTCCACATTTTTAAATATATCTTCACATTTAAAAGCATTTTTCACATTTTTTCATTTTATTTTGTTTTTTTTTAATGTTACTTTTTTGGGGAACACACCTCAAACACAAGATGGTTAATCAAATTGTGTTTCTTGGGGAGAAGTTATCCTAACAGCTGAACACAACTGACCGCAGCAGTCATATCACGCTCCAGTTTGCATGTGAAATTATGTTTTTGCATCTTTTTGCATATTTTTTGCATATTTTCTCATGTTTCGAGATTTTTTGTGATTTTTTGAGTTGTTAAAATGATTTTTCCTTTTATCCCCTCGATTTTTGAGATGTTTCGAGATTTTTTGAGATTTTTTCGAGATGATTGTTGCTAAGATTTTCATTTAAAACATTTTGTGCATTTTTTGCATTTTAAATCTCTTATCGAGATTTTAAATCTCTTTGGAAAGTATTCCATTCCAAAACCTCTCCGGTGAAGGTTATTGAATTTTTTTGGTGATATATGAATGTGTACAAATCTTTGGTACATGTCGACCAAAACTCCAGGAACATGCTAATATTACTTTTGGGGGGCGCAGAGGTCGTCATCCGTTTCTTTGCATCTCAAGTTCACCGTGAGAACCATGGACCGTGCCTGCCCATGTGGCCTCAACGGAGCCCCACTTCTGACGGGCTCGGTCCGCCTGCCGCACCCAAAACCGACCGACCGGAGGGGCCGGCCGTAGCACCCCTGAGCATTGACAGTCTTTGAGGTAAACCATTGTAAACCACATAATGAGTCTATATGACCTCAACACAAAATAGTATATAGAGATGTTAAACCTGCTAAGAAGATCATCAAGCGTCAAGACCTTCAATGTGTCCTTTTGTGGATGGAACGACCCGCCGGAGACAGGGCCGGAGACCCGCCGGAGAAATTCTACGACGATTACATTCTTTACTAAAACTGGCCGCCGGCGGCCTCCGGAGGCCCAGCCGGAACCCTCCGAATCCAGTCTCCGGGCGCCTTTTGGCGGTCATGTCTGGTCGCTTTTCTCCGGGCGCGTTTTTTCTAAACCTTATAAGGTTAGGCAGTAGCGCCCGGGCGCGCCTGTCGCCCTCCCCGGGCGGCAGGTGACCCAGCGAGCCTCCTAAGACTTTAGGGCTGCTGATGCCTGATGAGGCCCACATCGATTTGAAATTGCCACATGACAGTACTCTTCTCATTCTTCGATCTGCCAGCCTTCAGTGGAGCAATGGAGAGGAAGACCGCGCAAGGAACAAAAGTTGCTGCTGCGTTTGTACGTCTGCCCGCAACAGGTTCCTGACAAGCGCTTTACAGCTGATGAGCAGGCCAAAACACGGAAACACCGCTCCAGACTTCTCATCAAACACTTAAAAAGAAAATCCTCACATGAAATGAAATCTGTCCGAACATGTGTCGTATGTTTCACGAAAGGCTCACACTGAAAACAAGATCTGTTTGAAAACGACGCCAGGCCAAGCGAAACCCAAGCCACTAAACCTGAGCGATTCAAAAGCCAAGGTTCTTTCTGGCATTGAAGCTGCCAAGTCACGCAGCCTCTTTTGAAGTCTTCGGACACTTAAGGTCCTGTCACTGAGCATTGCGTTGCTTCGTTTCCCAAATCCCCAACGTGAAGTCACGGTCTAGATCAGGGAGGTCTAGATCAGATAGGTTTCAGAAAACTATGTTAGTGAACATGTGTGAAAATATATTGAAAAACATGTGTTTATATACGTTTATGTGTGAAAATGTGTGGTTTTATGTTTTTTGATAACCAAACAATGCATGGCAAGTATGCATGCTGAGATCATGAAAAAACCAAGGAATGGATCAGGGAGGGTTAGATCATTAGATCATTAGATCCACCAAAACTTCACATCAGGAGCCTGTGGCTGATTGTAAAGTCTGAAGGATGGACACTAAAACCCAAGGATGGTTCCAAATGCGCTTAGTGTGTTTGTGTGTGGCCAGCATTTGATTGGCATTGGATTGGGCCAATGAGTTCATTTGCCTGTCCTTCTTGCGCACGGCATTTAGAAGCTTGAAAATGTCGCTCAGCTATCAG